CCTCTAATCGATATATTGATGTAGAATTGAACGTATCAATAATTGTGAACATTAGTTTGAAAGATTCCCACCATAGGAAGGTACTGGTAAAGGAACTAGCAACAGACCCGATGGAGACCTCCTCCTTTCACAATAACTAACTTCAATAATCGATTGCTAGCGAAGTTAGTTGGTCGCCTCATAAAGTGTAGTCGCCGATAATTTGGAAAAAGTATTTAGTCTATATGTACTTATATTAGCAACCTCCAGACAACTCTTTGAAGTCAATTTTAAGAATCTGTAGAATTTGGAGCTGACCTGATAAAACTACCACCAATATTGCGAATAAGAGAGAGAGAGAAACTAACTGGGTAGTCAGAATACCGCGTCGACCAGAATTTCGCTATCGATAATGCTTTGGTCATTCAGTGATTGCAGTAGGGCTTTCGCAGGAGTAGTTAGTTCCAGATAGTAGTGATGACGGCAAAAGTGATTACTGGTGATCTTACTCTCCTTTCAACGACTTCTGTAGGATCTCTCGAACCTGCCCTGACAAAACTGCCAATATTTCGAATGACTGGACGTCTACTTTCACTTTCAGATAGAGAGAGAGACAAAGAAAGAAAGAGCCTGGGTAGTCGGTATTCCGCTGGTACTACTCAGTTTTGCTCAGGACAAATAGTCATTCTCGAACACATGTTCGCTATCGATAATGTTTTGGTCATTCATTAATTCCTGTGGGGGCTTTCGCATGAGTGTTTCCTGATGATAGTTGTGATGACGCAATATACAATTGGTGATCATGCTAGATGATTGAAACTTCCTTTCAATGACTTTTTTGAGCATTATCGCCGTAATCCCACTTTATTAGAAGAATTTATTATATCGCAAGACAACTCGTTGAAGTCAATTTTAAGGATCTCTCGAACCTCCCCTGAAAAAACTGCCACTAATATTATGAATGAACTGGCTATCTCAAACTATCAGAGAAAAAGAGAGAGAGAGAGATAAAGAAAGAACTTGGGTAGTCGGTATTCCGCGGTTACTACTCTGTTTTGCTCAGACCAAATAGTCATTCGCATACGTTCGCAATTGATAATTTTTCGGTGATTCATTGATTGTCGTGGGTGTTTTCGCATGAGGGGTTCCTGATAGTTGTGATGACAGAAATATATAATTGGTGATCGTGCTAGAAGATTGATCTTTCCTTAAATAACTTCGAGATTAACTGTCACAATGAGGAGGAACCGAGTAAATACTACTACTCTGCCGCAATTCCACTTTATTAGAAGACCTTAGTATATATATCAGCAAACTCCAGACAACTCTTTGAAGTCAATTTTTAGGATCTCTCGAACCTGCCCTGACAAAAATGTCGCCAATATTATGAATGGACTAGCTATCTCTAACTATCAGAGTTAGAGAGATATAAAGAAAGAAATTAACTTGGATAGTCTTTATTCCGCGGTTACTACTCTGTTTTGCTCAGACCAAATAGTCATTCGCACATTGATAATGTTTTGGTGATTCTTTGATTGCAGTGGGGGCTTTCGTATGAGTTGTTCCTGATAGAAGATCGAATCTTCCTTACAATGATTTCTGTAGAAACGGTCACAATTAGGACAAGGAGGTTTTATTAGTGTAAAGGCTTTATTGGTGTAAAGGAAATATAATTACATTCCTTTCTCGGGATTCTGTATCATAATAGAGCTTAGAGAGCAGAACTATTTAAAAACTTAGTAGCTACCTCTAAAGTCGACCTAAATCCATAACATTCTTAATTATATCTTTCACACATGAGCTAGACTTGATGGCTAAAAACGCAACATTTAAATCTTTTGCAGATTTACATATATTTTTGCAATTTTATGTTTGTGCTCTTAAAAACATGTATGTATTTTGAAAATAAAAGAGTCACTTTGATTTTTTTTAGAGAAAAACTATTTTATCCATAAGAATATTGCTAAACTATAAAATACCAGTTAAAAGAGAGTTTAAAAGAGAGATAAATTAAGATCTTCTCCTTACTCAACTCCTAAGAGAAGTGAAGTTCATCTCTTAAAAATGAAAGAGCATTTCAACGTCTGTCACGTTTGTGTTGGTAAAAATTAGATTTTTACCTGTTTATCTAAACAGTTAAGTTTTTTTTTCTAATTTTATTTTTATATATTTTTTTTTTTTGTTAGAATAATAAAAACAAAACGAAAATAATGCTTATTTGTGTATTGCACGACTATGATTATGATTGAAATTGCCAGAAAGAAAGAGAAAACTATAGTATAGTTTGTGTTTTGGGTAGAATAAGTAATAAGAAGAGTTTTGTTGGTGGTATTAGCTCACACTATAAAAACAACAGCAACAACAAAATCGACAAAAAACATCATAACAAAAGATATCAACAACAACAAAAACTGGCTTTAAACAAAATAATAATAATAATAATAAAAAAGAAATAATGTAAGATCAGAGTTTCCACTTAGCGGGAGTATTCTGGGAAATGTGGGATTTTTTAGAATTTTCTTAAGTGAATCACAATTTTCAGAAAAACAATCTTCAAAGATAGTATTGACTCTTCATAATATGTGCATTCACATAATTGCAAAACCTATAAATTTAGATCATTAATGATTAATGTCATTGGTATCAATTTGTTTTTATGATAAAGTGGTTGCTTTGTTTGAGGAAAGAGAGAGAAGGTGTTGGAAAGTCTATTTTCCTCGAAATAGTTCATATTGTTGAACTATTGGATCATTGTTCTTGTGCTTCAATTTGATCCTATTTGAGGTTTTACGAGTCACCTTAAAGGCTTAAGTCGATTTTCGTATATCTAATTAGAGAACTATTAGATATAGTCAAAAAGATCTTGGAACTTTCGGATAAAGTTGTATTAATTAAAAGTCTTGTCAACCAAACCTCAGCATAGTGAGTTGCTGAGTCTAAGAGCTGATAATGTCGGAAATGCGAATTCGATTTGCATGAATGTTTGGGAGACTAAACTTGAGGTCACTGAGCATTCTAAAATACCAATCATGGAAAAGCTATTTCCCTCGAAATAGTTCATACTGTTGCACTATTGGATATTAAGCTTGATCCTATTTGAGGCTTTACGAGTCACCTCAAAGACTAAAGTTTATGTCGATTTTTGTACATCTAATTAGAGAGATATTAATAGATATAGTTAAGAAGATCCTGGAACTTTTGGATAAAGGTGTGTTAATCAATATCCTTGTCAACCAAACTGTAGTACTTATTTTTTGCATGAATGTTTAGGAGACTAAACTTGAAGTCCTTGAGCATTCGAAAACATTAATCATAACGATAATCTGCTATTGATCTCTGTTATAAAGATAGATTCAAAAAAAGTGTTTTGAAGATCTTAGTTGCTGACCTGTAATGAATCGAAAATTCGATCAGGTCTACTTAATTCTTCATTGTTGTTAATGGGAATGAGGTTGCTGAGACAAAGAAGTAATGATGTTGGAAAGCCTGATTGGAAGAGCTTGATTACTAACTTTTTTATAAAGAGACGGTGTTTTGATTACTAAGTCATTAAAAAAAAGGCAATTTGACTTCGATCTAGCAGCGATCTCTTCGGTGACATGGAATATTTTTTTAATTCTTATAAGCTTAAGTAGGAAAAAGAATCTGGGTAATCTAGTAGTTGACATTTCGCATACTACAGCATTTTAAAGGTATAAATTTTACGATGGATCTAGAAACGATCTGGATTTTTATGGCGGATTTCAGTAGAATCTGGAAAAATTTGATTAAATATTAAAGACTGAAAGTGAAAACATGAATTTGGATCGTCCCAGTGTTGATCCTATCGTTTCTAAGTCCGTTTCAACTTTCGTTGGATCTAAAAGTGATCTGAATCTTTATAGTAAATTCCATTTGGTCTAGGAAAATTTCGAATAACCTCTAAAACCTCAATTCAGCTTGTGCAATCATAGCTAATGTCAACTTTACGATTGATCTAGAAACGAGCTGGACCTTTCATGTGGATTTCGTTATAGTCTGGAAAAATTTGGTTAAATTTTTAAGAATTGAAATAGATCGTCCAAATGTCCATTCTTTGGTTCATAGTCCAGGTGAAAAATGTCAACTTAACGATGGAATTAAAAGTCATCTGGATCTTCATAGTGAATTTCATTCGCTCTTCAAAAATTTCATAATTTTTTTTAAGAGAAACCCTGTAAGATTTTCGAAAGAGGAAATATAAATGCATTCTTTTCAGAAGTTCCTCTTAAACCTTAACATATTGACAACCCTGCTTGTTCAACTTTACAATAGATCTAGAAACGATCTGGATCTTTATAGTAGATTTAGTTACAGTCTGGAAAAATTTAGTTAAAATGTTTAAGAATGAAATTGAAGATATGATTTTAGATCGCCCAAGTGTCCATTTCGGAAATTTCCTTCAGAGAAACCCTGGAAGATCTTGTATTCTTAAAACATTTTGAGAATTACTCTAAAACCTAAAAACTGCTTGTACAACCATAACTGATATCAACATTGCGATAGATATAGAAATTATCTGGATCTTTATGGTGGATTTCATTAGAGTCTAGAAAAATTTAGTTAAATGTTTAAGACTGAAATTGAAAACATGAATTTGGATCCTCCAAGTGGATCCAACTTAACGATAGAACGAAAAGTGATGTGGAAATTTTGGAAAAGGGAAAATATAAAATAACCCTTTAAGACCTGTTGAGAATTTCCTCTAAAACCCAAACATATCGACAACCCTGTTTGTGCAACCATAAATTGTCTATATAAATAAAATCTTTGTCGATCTTTTTTGTGTAATAACAACAACTGCATAACACCATCACTATTCAAGACAAATAATTCTGTTTCGAAACAGTAAGTGAGTTAGTGAGTGAGTGAAGAGTGACTGTCTCAGTGAATGCATGCAGTACACATGCAGTCTTGGCAGTAGTTGGTGTAAACGTAGTAGTTACACACGATCACAAAAATAAGTGAAGATGAATTTACCGTTAGCAATTCCGGGTACTTACCATTTTTTTATGGTGTTATTGTTGTATTTATTGCTTTTGTTGTAGATGTTTGTTTAGGAAACATGTTTCTTTTCATAGATTTTAGTTTCAGTTTCTTCTTATTTTAACTGGTTTGAACGAAAACAATAAAACCAAAAAAAAGATCATCAGCAACAGAGTCCGAGCCAGAAGAGTAAGGCGATGACGACGAGTACAGAATACAGTACAAAAGATACAAGATTTATTTGTATTGTAGATATGTATATAACTACTATATTACATATATTTATTTCATTGGTTGTACATATATATATTTTGTTATACGTTATGGAAGACCACGAGGCCTTTTTGAAGTAGAAAGAAATATTATAAAAAAACTTGTTTTTGGATAATATCAAACTGGTTAAATTCTTTTTGCTTGGTTTTTTTTTGCGGTAAAGGTGGGGTTTTCAATACTTTTTTTCCAACCACTTTTTTTGTTACAAAACAAAAAGAGTTTCACAAGTTATAAGCAATTTTGTTTAAACTTTTTTTTTTGTTGTTTAAAATTTTATGTCTACAACTTGTGTTGACGTTTGCAAATTTGTGTTAAAATATGGCTTGTTTTAAAGATATTCTTTATTTTTTTTTTACTTTTTTAAATTTATTTATGTATTAATTTGTTAAAATATTGTTGACCTCACTTTTTTTGTTTTGTTTGTGAGTTTCTAGATTAATTAATTTATTTATTTTTGCTTTTTTGTTGTTGTATTATTTGATTATTTGCAAAAAAATAACAGGCCTGTGTAATTTCTGTATTTTTTATCTTTAATTTTATTTTTATAAAATTTTCTTTTTTTCAAGTTGTTAAATTCACTTTTTTGCTGTAATTTTTTGTTGAATTTTTTTTATGGTATTTGTATTTGAGACTTTAAATTTTAAAAAATACAAAAAAATGCACAGAATTTTGTATCCGCTTATCTTTATTTAACAACACTCACGATCACCATTATAGACACGACAACAACCACTGACAGCAACAGGCGTATAAACAATCAGGTTAAAGCCAATTTCAATAAGTCTTAAAACAATGCAGAGAACTAACTCTTTCAGCTCTTTTGCAAACAATTTTATATTTAACTTGTCTAAAAAGTGCTCTTAAATTTTTGTTGGCTTTCTCTTTAGAACTCTCTTATCTGTTTTTTTTTTTGGCGTTTTATACACCTGTTTGTTTCAAGTGTTTTTTTTTTTTCGTATGTTTATTATTATCTTTAGTTATGCTTATTTGTTTGTTAAATTTCCCCTTATCCTCCTCTTCGGTTTCTCTTTCTTGATTTCATTCATAAAAATTTTAATCAATTTACAAAATTAGTTTACAAAATATAGTGTTTAATTTGTTCAAGAACCCTTATAGAGCTGCCAATAGGTTTACTTGTTATTTAGGCGTTTTTTGCTGTTAATATTAATCTATTAGTTACTACCAACTGTTATCATTAGATTGACATTATCGTAATGACCTTTATCATTAACGTTATCAATTTCATATATTCTGCTCCGTTAACTAATGATCCAGTTAATCCTCGTTATCAATTTAAATCCATATTGTCCATGATGTAATGAGTCATTATTTGGTGGTTCTTAAACTTTTCTTGTTACTCATGCAATTTTAAGATTTTAATTTAAATGAATTTTGATTGTATAAATCGAATGCGATCACATGAAGATCATTTGATTTATCGCTAATGCTAGAAGTTCAAATGACCCACTATACTTTTATAATAACTGCAGCTAAATGAATCCATCAAATTATTTTGTGGTAATGCCTATGAGCAGACTTTCCTTCGTCTGGTTAGTGCGGCACCAAATGAGACATTCTAGGATAACGCTAATATAGGTCCCTGGTCACGATAAATGTCAGGGTAACTGTATAGCTAATGAATTAGCCATAAAGGCGCGATGTTATATGAGGAAGAAATTGATGCCTTTACTCGTATCTCTTACGAACTGTAAGAAACTTGTTTTTAATGAACTACTTGTCAGATCTCTAGGTCTATCTGGCCTCTATATGATGCTCTCAGATCAAGACTGCTCATAGTCTTTAGAAGAGATCAGATAAGAAATTTGTATCAGTAACTGTGCCATAGGCACTCATGCCAGGAGACTAGGAGAAGATTAGACGATATCGCATCTACTTTGCTATTGCCCTACATCACTTTGGTGCTCCTTTTTTGTCAGGCATGGATGAGTTTTCTGGGATAGGTCTGAAGAATATCCTATGCTTCATAAATGAACCGATTGGTTTAGTTCTGGAAGCATGGAGTGACATCAGAATACACAGCTGCGGCCACTAGGGTAACCCAACAGAACCAACTTAAATGGACCCAAGAGAGCTGCTTATGAAGCTGCTGCCCTCGATAGTTAACCTAACCTAGTGCGGCACCATCACTGGTCTTGGATTTTTGATGTGTTCTATTGGCTCTGTTATATCGTAGGCTTATAGGCCTTTTCTTCAAAATTGCGTGCGAGGCTTCTCTCAAATTTGGGATGGAGATCGTGAATAGTTATGTTACGAACTCTAAGAATCTTTATCTCTGATACAAGCTAAGGTTGTGATCACCAAAGAATTAGGTTTTGTGCCTGTCGCCAGCTTTGGATCGTCTCGAAATTTTCCGATCGCAACAAAATCAACCGAGCAACTTTATCTACGATAACAGAATGATAAACTATTTTTGAATCTTTGACTTATCGAAGTGGCTTTTACTAAGAGGCTTTCGCTTTTTGGTAGATAATTTGGACATTTTTGATAATTATTTGATAATAATTGATAATTTTTAATAAAATTTTTTGGAATTGAATTACCATTTTTAATTACGATCGCCATCCTTTATGAGAGTTTAAATTGTCGTTTGATTCTATTATACATAAAATGATTTGTTTAGTGTTAGGATCGGGTTCCAACTTCGAGCTTTTGATCGATTGGTTATATGTGTATGTATATATGTATATGTCGGTCCAACAATTTGATGCTACATTAAATGTCTAGGAATATTCTAAAAACTCTTTCTCATGCATTGTCATAACTACATCCAAGAAGCGCTTTAGAAATTTGGAATTCTTCGAATTTATTGTCATCTTTATATTTAAGGCAGTGTTAGGGTGAATCATAATAGTCAGTTTGAAAATAATTTTACTCATCATGCTAAAGTGACTAATGACATTTAAAGTTTTTTTTCTTTTTTTTCAATTCCAAAACTTTTTAACTACAATGTTGTTTTAGCTGCTTTTCAATACAATATATTGACATCACTTAACACACCTGTTGATAGTAAGTGTTTTCGTTTGTGTTTTTATTGTTATGGTTGTTCTTCTTTTATTTTGTTTTCGTGTAATTTTTTCACTTTTTCTCTTGTTGTTTTTTATTCATTCATAAAAATATAATCAAATTAAAAATTATTTTCTGAAAAAATACGGGTTTATTTTTATTATTTTTCTTAGAAATTACTGCATCTTTTGCTGTGGTAGTACTTGTTTTTTTGTTTGGCTACCTGTTGTATTTTTATTGGTTTTGTTTGTTTATATACATTATTATTTGTTTTGGTACATGTTTATAAACATGGAAGCTACACATTGTTTCAGAGAGATTGATGTGTTTTTAACAGCATTGCCAGAGTGAATAATTTTTGTTTACTTTTTACATCTTTAGGCGTTTCATATGTTTTTAAATTTGAATTTTGTACGAAAGAAAATTGTACTAGACAACAGACTTGACTTTTTTGTACAGAATGAATTGGTCTACAGTTTAAATTCTACTATATATCAACTATATACATATCAACAGTCTGATCTATAAACAATAATCTTGACTATAGACTATAGAATTCACTATAGCCTTGACTATACACTACAATGTAGACTTGATTATAAATTAGTGTATAAACTTGACTATAGACTACATTATAAACGAAATTATAGACAAGATAATAGACCAGACTATAGAGCAAACTATAGTCTAAACTATAGACTAAACTATAGTCTATAGACTAGACTATAGACTGGACTATAGACTACACTATGGACTACACTATAGAATATACTAGACTAGACTATAGATAGGACTATAGACTAGACTATAGACTAGACTATAGACTAGACTATAGACTAGACTATACTAGACTAGACTATAGACTAGACTATAGACTAGACTATAGACTAGACTATAGACTAGACTATAGACTAGACTATAGACTAGACTATAGACTAGACTATAGACTAGGCTATAGACTAGACTATAGACTAGACTATAGACTAGACTATAGACTAGACTATAGACTAGACTATAGACTAGACTATATACTAGACTATAGACTAGACTATAGACTAGACTAGACTATAGACTAGACTATAGACTAGACTATAGACTAGACTATAGACTAGACTATAGACTAGACTATAGACTAGACTATAGACTAGACTATAGACTAGACTATAGACTAGACTATAGACTAGACTATAGACTAGACTATAGACTAGACTATAGACTAGACTATAGACTAGACTATAGACTAGACCATAGACTAGACTATAGGCTAGACTATAGACTAGACTATAGACTAGACTATAGACTAGACTATAGACTAGACTATAGACTAGACTATAGACTAGACTATAGACTAGACTATAGACTAGACTATAGACTAGACTATAGACTAGACTATAGACTAGACTATAGGACTAGACTATAGACTAGACTATAGACTAGACTATAGACTAGACTATAGACTAGACTATAGACTAGACTATAGACTAGACTATAGACTAGACTATAGACTAGACTATAGACTAGACTATAGACTAGACTATAGACTAGACTATAGACTAGACTATAGACTAGACTATAGACTAGACTATAGACTAGACTATAGACTAGACTATAGACTAGACTATAGACTAGACTATAGACTAGACTATAGACTAGACTATAGACTAGACTATAGACTAGACTATAGACTAGACTATAGACTAGACTATAGACTAGACTATAGACTAGACTATAGACTAGACTATAGACTAGACTATAGACTAGACTATAGACTAGACTATAGACTAGACTATAGACTAGACTATAGACTAGACTATAGACTAGACTATAGACTAGACTATAGACTAAACTATAGACTAGACTATAGACTAGACTATAGACTAGACTATAGACTAGACTATAGACTAAATACAGACTAGGCTAGACTAGACTTTAGACTAGACTATAGTCTAAACTGCAGACTAGACTATAGACTAAACTACAGACTAGGCTATAGACTAGACTTCACTGTAGACTACACTATAGACTATAAAAAAGACTAGAAATCGTAAATTGCAATCGCTTACCAGACTATGTACTGTCTCTAATATAAACACCCCGTTTCTGTGTTCACATTCTGAATTTGTAAAACCTCGTGCATTAAAGATTCAATACTAAAAGTTGCAAAAAAAAGCCTAGCTGTTGACTTGATATGTTTACAATAATTTTGTAAGTTAAACACAGTTTTTTTTTTGTAAAAACACAAACTGCAGCCAAAAGTCAATATATTCCAACACAAAATAGAATAAAATTAAATTTGCATTGTAAAATAAAACAAATATTTTCTCAGGGTAAATACAAATTTAGACTCTAGCACTGCTTTAGCTACAAAAATAAAATAATTTATAAAACACACCTTTCAAAGGTTAAACACTTAACTAAATGGAGTTTAAATGTTTTTATTTAAATAGAAATTACATTATATAAAAAAATATACAAAACGATACAATAATTATTAAAGCGACAAAATTTTACAACTACTTAAGCGTATTGAGCTACAAGTTTTTCAACAAAAGCAACATATTCTTTTTTGGCATCTTCTTGGGATTTGCCCTTTTGTTTGTTCCACGATTCCCACTTGGCTTTACCTTTCAAATCCAATAAACCGGGTTTGCTGGTGTTATTGTCACCAACGGTGGCTTGCTTGAAGAGAGCGTACAATTCCAAGAATTCTTCATCGGTGGGACGTTTGGTTAAGGTCTTGACGCGTTCAGCGGCAGCATTAAATTGCTAGAATTAGAATTGTAAATTTAGATTAGTTATCATTTGACCTATTTTTAATTGTGGGGTTGTAAAAAAAACTTACTTCATCCAAAGACATGTTGTTAGATTAGTTGTTTCTTTTAATCTGAAATTATAAAGAAATTGATAAATATTTATTAGTTTTGTTTTATCGTTATTTATGGCAGGGGGTCATTAAAGATATGCAGTTTTATGTTTTTTTATTTGAAGTGAAACTAATGCCAATATTTATATGGATTTAATTTACGGTTTTGTTGAAAGTCAAGGTGGAAGAAAAAACCTTGGCTTTGAATCTTTTTAAGCTTTTGTTGTGGGCTGATTTATAATGTAAGCGTTAAGCGTTAAGTCGTCATAATGTTAGCAAATTAATAAATTTTATCATATTTTTTTTAAATCAAAGTCTGGATCAGATTATAGACCAGGCTATATGTCAGACTATAGACCAGACAATAGGCCAGACTATAAGCTTGATTATATTAGATGTATATTAGACTATTGTCCAGATTATATATCAGACTACACTTCAAATTATAAATTGTTCTAAATTATAGTCCAGACTATATATTATAGTTCACACTGTAGACTATCCTATAGTCTAATCTATAGACAATTCTATAGTCCAGATTGTAGACAAGATTACAGAATACACTATATACTAAATTATAATCCAAACAAAAGATTTGATTATACAGACTGTAGACTAGATTCTAGTACAGACTATAGACTAAACTGTCATCCAGACTGTAGACATGACTATAGTCCGGACTGTACTGTAGTCCAAACTATGAACTATAGTCTAGGCCAGACTATAGACAAGACTATAGTTCAGACTAGAATATAGTTCAGATTATGGTCAGGCTATAGAATAAACCATAGTCCATACCATATACTAGATTACAGTCCACATCATAGTTTACACTATAGACTAGACTATAGCGAGCCTGTAGACAAGACTAGATTATAGCCCAGACTATATTATAGATAATAGCCATAATATACACTAAACTGTAGTTCTTACTATAGACTAGACTATTGACTTGACTACAGTCCAGGCTATAGGCAAGACTATAGTTCATATTAAAGACTAGTCTACTCCAGACTATAAACTCGACTGTTATACAGTATATAAATTTGACTATAGTCCAGACTATACACAAGACTCTAGTCCAGACATGAGTAGAGTTCGGATTAAAGACTAGACTCTAGTCCACACTATAAACTATATTCTAGTCCAGACTATGGTTCAGATTATAGATTAAAATATAATCCAAACTGTAAACTAGACTATAGCCCAGACTATAGAATAAACTATAGTCCAGAATATAGAATATATTCCAGACTATAGTTTAAACTTTAGACTATAATATAGTCGAGACTACATATCTAGACTATAGTTCGTACTATTAGTTTGACTATATACTACATTATAGTCCAGACTAGACTATTGTCCACAGTTTTCAAACGTCGCTAAGCGCCTTAATAATGTTTTAACTTGATTAAGATTTTACAAAAATATGAATAAATTATTTGCAAAACAAATAAGTTGTTTGTTGTAAAGACCGGTATGGGTAGATAACAGTTCATTTACCCTAAACTATTAAAAATTTTACGCTATTTGGAGTTAAAGAAAAAATACGCATGTGTTCAGAAATAAGTGACAAAATACACGTCAGTGTTATTATTACTTACTTAACTTTACGATCTTCTTTAACTCTATGGAAAATGACGTAAACTATTTAAAAACTATAAAATTATGCAAAATTATTAAATAAATATTTACTAATTATTAACTAAAATAATGGAATAAAATTAAATTAATAGTAATTAACGGTATTATAAAGTGGGATAGTTAAAATCAGAAATATTTCTTTGCTATTTTGTTTGTCCTAACAAATTCTTGCAATACCAACTAAAAATACAAGTTGCCTCAAATATTTGCTTAATGTGATTGTATCTTAATGTTTTTTAACTTTTTTTTGTAGATTTTCTGAATTAATTATTATGTTGGCCATGTTTTACATTTGTTGGGTGTTTAAAATTTAATTTACCATTTTTTTCACTTTATTTTATTTTTTGCTAGTTTTGAGTGAACCATTCATTCGTTTCTTTTGATAATTTGCCTATTTTGACCATTACACTAAAAACTAACTTTCTCTACAACACTAACAATATATTTTATATCTTAACAATATATATTTTTAAATCTTCTTTTTTTACAAAAAAAAGTTAACAACACAAATACAATTCATAAATTTCCAGTTGCTTGTTTGTGGTTTTATTATAAGAAAATAAAAATGAAAATAACATTTGTAAGACAATATTAACGGTGTTACAAAAAACTTAATTACACTTTTTGGCTTACACGTACAATACCGTTATGAACACGACAGACGAATACACTCAGAGAAAATTTTATTTAAAAATGCAAAAGAGAATTATCCGTTAACAAATGATTTAACACAATTTTATCTCAAATTTTTAATTATTAAAAAATTTTTTTAATTTTGAATTTTCCACATATTTTTTCTTCCAGTGTAATCAAAACAAAACTTTTGTATTATTTTACAATATAATTATTGTTTAATTTTATTGTTACAAGATTAAAGCGGAAATGCGTTTCTATGTCATCATAGTAAAATTTATAATGAAACTTTACACAACAAATAAAATAATAAAAAAAGCACAAAAGTGAAATGGAATTTTTTTTGTTATTAAAATGTGTTTTATGAAAAATTAAACTCATTTCAAGAAAACTTATAAATTTATACACACAGAGAAAATAAGTATTAAAATTACGATTACTTAGTACAGTTGTTGCAATCATAAATTATGTTTAGCTTTATCATTTTATTGCCATATGCAATAAATCAATTATATTTTAATCAATGCAATTATTTCCTAATAGCTGCAATTATAAACATGACTAAAGATGTTTTAATACTGTAATAACTCAGTTGCAGCAATCATTTTGCAAACATTCAATATTTCTCAATGATTGTTAAAAGAAGCGAGATACTCGCGTTGTAAAGAATCTTCAGTTGGAGAATATCTTGGACGAAGAAGCTTTTTCTGTAGACGTTCAGTTCTTGTTCAGTTCTAGTTCAGTTCTAGTTCAGTTCTAGTTCAGTCTAGTTCAGTTCTAGTTCAGTTCAGTTCTAGTTCAGTTCTAGTTCAGTTCTAGTTCAGTTCTAGTTCAGTTCTAGTTCAGTTCAGTTCTAGTTCAGTTTCTAGTTCACTTCTAGTTCAGTTCTAGTTCTAGTTCAGTTCTAGTTCAGTTCTAGTTCAGTTCTAGTTCAGTTTCTAGTCTAGTTCAGTTCTAGTTCAGTTCTAGTTCAGTTCTAGTTCAGTTTCTAGTTCAGTTCTAGTCAGTTCAGTTCAGTTCTAGTTCAGTTCTAGTCAGTTCTAGTTCAGTTCTAGTTCAGTTCTAGTTCAGTTCTAGTTCAGTTCTAGTTCAGTTCTAGTTCAGTTCTAGTTCAGTTCTAGTTCAGTTCTAGTTCAGTTCTAGTTCAGTTCTAGTTCAGTTCTAGTTCAGTTCTAGTTCAGTTCTAGTTCAGTTCTAGTTCAGTTCTAGTTCAGTTTCTAGTTCAGTTCTAGTTCAGTTCTAGTTCAGTTCTAGTTCAGTTCTAGTTCAGTTCTAGTTCAGTTCTAGTTCAGTTCTAGTTCAGTTCTAGTTCAGTTCTAGTTCAGTTCTAGTTCAGTTCTAGTTCAGTTCTAGTTCAGTTCTAGTTCAGTTCTAGTTCAGTTCTAGTTCAGTTCTAGTTCAGTTCTAGTTCAGTTCTAGTTCAGTTCTAGTTCAGTTCTAGTTCAGTTCTAGTTCAGTTCTAGTTCAGTTCTAGTTCAGTTCTAGTTCAGTTCTAGTTCAGTTCTAGTTCAGTTCTAGATCAGTTCTAGTTCAGTTCTAGTTCAGTTCTAGTTCAGTTCTAGTTCAGTTCTAGTTCAGTTCTAGTTCAGTTCTAGTTCAGTTCTAGTTCAGTTCTAGTTCAGTTCTAGTTCAGTTCTAGTTCAGTTCTAGTTCAGTTCTAGTTCAGTTCTAGTTCAGTTCAGTTCTAGTTCAGTTCTAGTTCAGTTCAGTTCAGTTCTAGTTCAGTTCAGTTCTAGTTCAGTACTAGTTCAGTTCTAGTTCTAGTTCAGTTCTAGTTCAGTTCTAGTTCAGTTCTAGTTCAGTTCTAGTTCAGTTCTAGTTCTGTCTAGTTCTAGTTCAAGTTCTCGTTCAGTTCTAGTTCAGTTCTAGTTTCAGTCTGTTCAGTTATAGTTCAGTTTCTATTCCCCAGTTCAGTCAGTTTCTAGTTGTCTAGTTCAGTTCTAGTTCAGTTCTAGTCAGTTCTAGTTCAGTTCTAGTCAGTTCTAGTTCAGTTCTAGTTCAGTTCTAGTTCAGTTCTAGTTCAGTTCTAGTCAGTTCTAGTTCAGTTCTAGTTACAGTCAGTTACAGTTCTGTTCAGTCTAGTTCAGTTATGTTCAGTTCTAGTTCAGTTTGTTCAGTTCTAGTTCAGTTTAGTTCAGTTCTACGTTCAGTTATAGATTCAGTTCTAGTTCAGTTCTAGTTCAGTTTTCTAGTTCAGTTCTAGTAAGTGGTAATTTTTAATAAAGTTTTGAAACACTTTGATTTTTGTAAAAATGGCCACACTTTTTTAATTATATATTTGATTTATTGCATCTTTTGTATATAATTGCATATAATTTATGACAGAACGAAATCTTTTTATACATTTTATTTCAACATTTTTTAATTTTGTTTTTCAATTGATTTTTTATCAACAAAAAAAAAAAAAACAAATTTCTGGAGAAATTTAAACAAATGTTTCCAAACCTTTCTCACTTTGTTTCAGGTATTTATTAAATAAAAGCTTTTTTAAATTTAATAATAGACTGACACAAGGGGGGTATATAAATTAATGAAAAAGAGACACGTATATTCAGTCAATCACACCATTTATTATTACAAAAGCCCACGAGAAATGTCATGTAATTTATTTGATTAATTTAAAGGCATTCAAACTTTTGACACATAAACATTTAGCACTAATTTTATTGAGTTTTTCTAAGCAATTTGCAATTTTGTTTAGCAATTTGTTTAAAATAATTAACATTTATAAATTTCAATTTTGCTTCTTCTATCTTCTTCACCCACAACAAATTTTGAAATTTGGACACTTTTTTTTAATTTTTTATCAAAAAAAAAAAAAAAAAAAAAAAAAAAACAATATTTTATTGCTTTATACTAAACAAAAATAAGACTTTTGGAAGAGGAGCCAGTTTGTTGAAAACTTACTTGTCTTGAAAACAGCAAAAAACGTTCTGAATTCAAATCACCAATCTACTCATAAATATAACGAATTTTTTTGTTTGTACTCGCACTGTTTGTTGACGCTATAGAAAAAAATCGTTTTTTTTAATCTAATGTTTGAGTACATACGAACATATGTTTTACTACTTCGTACGATTTTTGAACACGATCACTATGTTTTTTTGCTTAATTTGAAGTATAAAGCTTTTTTTGTTAAGTGCTTTCTATACACAGTTAAAAAGTTTTTTTGGTTACGGTACGTTCAGCTTTTTAGATTACGTGATTTTGTATGCATTCGATTTACGATATATGTATTTTAAATTTTGTCTTTCTATGACTATAAAATGAAGCAGGTGAATTTTCAAGTGGTTTAAGTTAAAAAGGTTGTTATTAGATTAGATTTTAACCGATTCTTGATTAAAGTTCAAATAGATTTATAATTTTATTACTCGTATTAACTAATTTTTGTAAACAGTTTGTAATTAATTTATAGTCACTTTACTTTGTATTCATGCAATATCGATCACTTGGCACCAAATCAGGTACAAAACTGAAATTGTATAATTTTAAATATGGAAGACGTGCAATGTTCTAGTTCAGTTTTAGTTCAATTCTGGTTCAGTTCTGGTTCAGTTCTAGTTCAGTTCTAGTTCAGTTCTAGTCCAGTTCTAGTTCAGTTCTAGTTCAGTTCTAGTTCAGTTCTAGTTCAGTTCTAGTTCAGTTCTAGTTCAGTTCAGTTCTAGTTCAGTTCTAGTTCAGTTCTAGTTCAGTTCTAATTGAGTTCTAATTGAGTTCTAGTTCAGTTCTAGTTCTAGTTCAGTTCTAGTTCAGTTCTAGTTCAGTTCTAGTTCAGTTCTAGTTCAGTTCTAGTTCAGTTCTAGTTCAGTTCTAGTTCAGTTCTAGTTCTAGTTCTAGTTCTAGTTCAGTTCTAGTTCAGTTCTAGTTCTAGTTCAGTTCTAGTTCAGTTCTAGTTCAGTTCTAGTTCAGTTCTAGTTCAGTTCTAGTTCAGTTCTAGTTCAGTTCTAGTTCAGTTCTAGTTCAGTTCTAGTTCAGTTCTAGTTCAGTTCTAGTTCTAGTTCAGTTCTAGTTCAGTTCTAGTTCAGTTCTAGTTCAGTTCTAGTTCAGTTCTAGTTCAGTTCTAGTTCAGTTCTAGTTCAGTTCTAGTTCAGTTCTAGTTCAGTTCTAGTTCAGTTCTAGTTCAGTTCTAGTTCAGTTCTAGTTCAGTTCTAGTTCAGTTCTAGTTCAGTTCTAGTTCAGTTCTAGTTCAGTTCTAGTTCAGTTCTAGTTCAGTTCTAGTTCAGTTCTAGTTCAGTTCTAGTTCAGTTCTAGTTCAGTTCTAGTTCAGTTCTAGTTCAGTTTTAGTTCAGTTCTAGTACAGTTCTATTTCAGTTCAAGTTCAGTTCCAGTTAAGTTCTAGTTCCCATAAAATTCTGGTTAACAAAAAAAATGTCTCGAACATAATTGATTCTTCGATCTTCAAAATTAAATTAAAAAAATATTTATATATATTTTTTTTAAAGGTTTAAAAATTTTCCACTCTGTTTCTTTTATTATAAGATAACCCTCCCCACTTGATTATAACTTAACGCAATCCATCAATATGAAAATTTTCATATCTTATCTTTTATGACTCTGGGAGGTTTATGGAAAGTATTTTTTTATAAGATTATCAATTTCCTCACACGGTATGGTTGTATTTTTAAAATAATCTTTAATCCAAATTATTAACAAAGTATAAGTGTAGAGTACTTCTAAAATATTAACATATTCCGGTTAATATTAAAATAGAAATAGTGCATATCTAGTCCGATAATCTGAAATTTAAAGCAAAACTAACTTTAAGATAACTATTAGCCAATATTACTGTTAACGCCTAAATATAAATTTAGGTGATAAGTTCTATATAAAGTATTATTTTGTTATGGTATTAAGGAGAGATTATGATGTTTTTATGCTAAAAAATGGTGAATTAAAAACAAGAAAATATTTTAGAGTACCTTTCAATTCCTTCCAATTTATTTTAGTAAAATCTCTTAAGTATTAAACATAAATAGTTATATTAATATTCCCCTACTACATTTTTTTAAAAATTAAATTTAAGCATATTTGGGAGCATATTTCTCATAGACTTGTACGTAGGCAGCCTTGGCAGCATCTTGAGACAAACCTTGGTGTTTGTTCCAGGCTTCCCACATGGCCTTCTTTTTCAAATCCAAAGCACCGGGTTTTTCAATGTTGCAATCACCAACGGTGGCTTGCTTGAAAAGACCGTAGAATTCTAAGAATTCAGAGTCAGAAGGCTTCTTGCTGAAGTTCTTAGCCAATTCACAAGCTTCTTCGAACTAAAATGAAATTATTTAAAAATTATCTGAATGTTAACTTAAAATTATGATTTCAAATTTGTAAACTTACTGAAACCATTTTGTTTAATGTTATTATTTGGATAAATAAAATTCAAATGATACTGTTGTCATATCCACTCAAACCTTTTATAGTTATTTTTTTAGTCTTGAAGACTAAATTCATTGACGGAGTTATTACTTTATCTTTTAGTTTTTTTACGAATTTAATTAATTTTCCTTAGATAAATATTTATTTAAATTATGTTTCGTAATATTGGGGAAATATTCTTTGATTTTTCAATGAAATTGGTTTCAATCTTATCTATTAGAAAATTTGATTATTTTATTAAAGAAATATTTAGATTTATTTTTGTTGTTCTAGAATGCATTTACTGGCCTTAGCAACTTCATATTAATATAAACGTAAATTGTTTTTTGTTTAATATTATTTTTTATATTTAAAGTTATGATTATGCACTAACGACTATCGATCAGTTTGTATATTTTATTTATTAAATTTGAAAGTATAGTTTAAGGCGATTTTTTTATGTTATCACTGTCTGCTGCATGACTGTGCCAAGTCCAAATAATAGTGAATCATTTGATTTTTGTCTATTTTTCAACTTTTTTCCTTAAAATATTAAATTGTTTTTGTATTATCATTACTATGTATTTATCTTTAAAAATCTTTGATACATAAAAAAGTGATTAATTTTTTTGAATCATATGTTTCTTTTTTAAAATATGATCCCTCCAAGAAATTAAAACTTTTGCATGTTTTTCTCCGTTTAATAATTTAGGAAATTTGATTTTTATTTGGTCATAAAATTTTAAAGGTTTTCTTTAAACTTTAGTTCTAGTTCAGTTCTAGTTCAGTTCAATTCTAGTTCAGTTCTAGTTCAGTTCAGTTCAGTTCTAGTTCAGTTCTAGTTCAGTTCTAGGTCAGTTCTACTTCAGTTCTACTTCAGTTCTAGTTCAGTTCTAGTTCAGTTCTAGATCAGTTCTAGATCAGTTATAGATCAGTTCCAGTTCAGTTCTAGTTCAGTTCTAGTTCAGTTCTAGTTCAGTTCTAGTTCAGTTCTAGTTCAGTTCTAGTTCAGTTCTAGTTCAGTTCTAGTTCAGTTCTAGTTCAGTTCTAGTTCAGTTCTAGTTCAGTTCTAGTTCAGTTCTAGTTCAGTTCTAGTTCAGTTCTAGTTCAGTTCCAGTTCAGTTCTAGTTCTAGTTCAGTTCTAGTTCAGTTCTAGTTCAGTTCTAGTTCAGTTCTAGTTCAGTTCTAGTTCAGTTCTAGTTCAGTTCTAGTTCAGTTCTAGTTCAGTTCTAGTTCAGTTCTAGTTCAGTTCTAGTTCAGTTCTAGTTCAGTTCTAGTTCAGTTCTAGTTCAGTTCTAGTTCAGTTCTAGTTCAGTTCTAGTTCAGTTCTAGTTCAGTTCTAGTTCAGTTCTAGTTCAGTTCTAGTTCAGTTCTAGTTCAGTTCTAGTTCAGTTCTAGTTCAGTTCTAGATCAGTTCCAGATCAGTTCCAGTTCAGTTCTAGTTCTGTTCTAGTTCAGTTGTAGTTCAGTTCTAGTTCAATTCTATACCAAATCTTTGGTCGTGCAACCATCTCTGAGTAGGTTTCGAAAACGGACTTGCAATAATGTAAAAAACTGGGATTGGGAGGCATCTAATTTGTTTTTTTTAATATAGGGCCTAAAGTTGGCCTATATTTTTCTCCATATAAACTACTGAGTATCGCTAAAATTTAAACGCTTTCGGATTAGCGGCTTAGGTGTAGTTGGCTAAAAATTAAAACATCGCTATCTAGCGGATATATATACACTATCGGACAAAATAAAGTGCAAAAGTACTCATGCTATATTCTTTCAGCGAAAAATCTGTTAAATGATTATTAAATAATGAAAATTTATTATAATTCATTTAGTTAATATACATTGCTACAAAAATAACAATAAAACTAAATTATTGTACTTAGAATGTTTCTGTATAAAATTTAAAATTAAAGTAAATTCACTTTTTGTCGGACAAAATAAAGTGTAAATTTTATATATCATTGTTAAAATTTCTTGTATATCAAAATTTTTTATCTATTTTGGTTCTGATTTGAATATTTGGATCTACTTTAGCCATTTTGGCTATTTTTTTACCATTATTATGTCCAATCGCCTTCCCCTCCTCTTGTTTTCCCGCATACGATTATTTTCAAAAGGAATCCAATTTTATTCACTATTTCATCGGAATTTTTTGATCAATTGTGGTCCAAAATTAATCTATTGGATTTAGGGTGGTGCTCTGAACAGGACATTCCAATTTTCCTGTGTTTTTTCCTACGTTAATGTTATTTTTTAACTTTATCAAGTACTTAAGCTTATTATCTTGCCGTGATATAAAGTTGCCCAAGTCCATTTTTAAGGCACTGATCTTTAGATTTGAGTGTAATATGCTCACGTAGTATTCATGTATTTCTGAATACATTTCCCGTAGGTTCCCCACACCTAACGTTAAAAATTTAACACATACGAAGAGTCAACTGACCCATACCTTGAATCGTCCACCATCTTATTTAAAAGCGCGGAAAGTTTCTTCCGATTTTAGTATTTAATTTTGTATTTTTTAGCTCAATTTATGTAGTTGGTCAGATGAGTTCCTATTTGTAACGAAAAATTTAAAATTTAAAATGAGTGAGAGGTAAGCCATTTAATATACTAAACTTGAAATACAATAGGCTGGTTTTTAAACATTAGCGTGGAGGGCTATCAGTATTGGTACATTATTCAACTTTAGGATCGGGAATCTTAGTGAAAATGGAGTAAGTAATTACAAATGAGCAATAAACGAGCATATTTAATAAAAATCCTGAAATAAATGGCGTAAAAATGGTTTTGGGAGACTTCATGTCTCAACAGATTCATGACTTCAAAGACACAACAAAGGCTAAAAATCATTATTGTACGAATAAAAACACTGAAAAATTGGAATAACCTGCTCAGAGCACCGCCCTAAATCCAATAGATTAATTTTGGACCACAATTGATAAAAAATTCTGATGAAGTAGTGAATAAAAATGGATTCATTTTGAAAATAATCATATGCGGGAAAACAAGAGGAAAGGAAGGCGATTGGGTAAAAAAATTACCATAATGGTTTAAGTAGATCCAAATATTCAAATCAGAACCAAAATAGATACAAAATTTTGATATACAATAAATTTAAATAATGATATATAAAATTTACATTTTATTTTGTCCGACAAAAAAGTGAATTTACTTTAATTTTTGACGTTATACAGAAAAGTTTTAAGTACAATAATTTTGTTTTATTGTTATTTTTGTAGCATTGTATATTAACTAAACGAATTTAAAAAATTTTCTATATTAAAAGTTCATTTAACAGATTTTTCGCTGATAGAATATAGTAATAGTACTTTTGCACTTTATTTTGTCCGATAGTGTATGTTACAGAGATCTCACGATCTCTGTAACATATGTATATATGAATTATTGTATCATTTTGTCTCGTAGTTTCTGAATTTATAAAATGGAGTTAAAACTTTTCCATAACAAGATATTAACGATTTATTGCAGCGAATTATTACTAAAATCAAAATTTTTTACTAATATTTTTTATCAAAATATTATTTTATGGTGAGATAAAGAGTGCGTCAATAAAAATGTTTACATATTTTGTTAATAAATAAAAAAGGTACAAAGTTCAATTTGTGTGAAGTACCCCATAAAAATGAAACTGTTTTAGAAATCGTTTCAAATTTTTAAAGTTGAAACCACCAGGTACCGAAACACTGTATTTCTGATCGAATAATAAATCAAAATTGGTATTATGGCAAGAAATCGGTTAAATTGACCTTTAATTAATTACCGAAATTTGTTTTTATAGAGAAAGCTCATTTGGATATTACATACTTACTTATATATTATTCAATTATTTTAAAGGATCATTTTAAATTAAAATTGCATAACACATATAAATTTTTACTTAAAGAAGATTTTTATTTACACTTAAACATCGACTGACCAGAAAATCATAAAGTTAATAAAATAAATAAATTTTTAAACTTTTTCTAAATCACAAAACATAAATTAAATTGAGAAGATTTCTACTACTGCTACTACAAAATTGAACCAAATTCAAAAAATTTATAATTTATTCGGATTTGGGAGCATATTTGTGGTAGACTTCGATGTATTTAGCCTTGGCATCTTCAGAGCTGGTGCCAGCCTTGGACTTCCAGGAGTTCCACATGGCTTTTCTGACGGGATCTTCAGGTTCATCGGTGTTGCAGTCACCTACGGTGGCTTGTTTATAGTAACCGTAGAATTCCAAGAAGTCCTCTTGAGTGGGCTTGTTGGTCAAGTTCTTGGCCTTCTCAACGATTTCTTCAAACTGTAATTAGGAAAAGTTATATAATAAAAAGTTTTATAAATTTTCGAATATATTGAACTTACGGTGAGCATGTTGTTAGAAGTTGTTGCTTTAGTTGTTATTTCCAAACAAATAATGATATTTTAAATAATTCCCTGGTTTTTATATAAATGTTTTGGACAAATTTTGCTAATATTTGGCAAATCTTATCAGTTGCATTTGGAAAGTTATAACTGTGTGTCAGTGTCAATTTTTAGTTGGTTATCTATTTGGTTTTCACTTCCAGCTAATATTACGTTACGTGTACTTCTTTTTCACCCTCAATCCATCGAACATTGTTTGTGTTTACTGTATATTTTTTTGCTGAAATTTGTCATTAAACTTTATTAATCAGTGTTTGGTGGTAATGTATATAATGATAATACAAATTTATTGATTTCTATATATATATAATAGTATATAAATACATATGTTTTTTCTGTACATATGCAGTGAGATAAGGTTCTTCTATCTCTGATTATAAAACAAAAACTGCAAATCTACTGCCATTTATTATCTCTGACATATGTTTTACCTTCCTTCTGTGAAATAGTTCTGCTTACGCATGCTTATTTTCAGATTATCTTGGACATTTTTTCAAAATAGTTAATGATTTTCTTATCAGAAATCCACTCATATATTAGGAAAGGGGATTTTTTGCAATTTTAAAAAAAAGATTATGTATTTTGCATTACTTTCCATTGTCAAGGTTGAATTTTATATAAGCTATGGTTTTGCAAAAGCTAGCCTATGCATTTTTTTAATAGGGCGAAAATTTGGAACCTTGAAAACAATTTTAACATTGCTTTTTAATGCTATACAATGGAGCGATGTTTTTTTAAATTGAATTGGCGTTTTTACCCCCGGGGTCATGTTACCTTGCTGACACTTCTGATCTTCTTGTTATTGCAAGTCTGAGGAAAAGAGGTACTACCAATAACTCTAGTCTGCCGGGACTATAAACTGGTGATGATCAAATGTTCCTCGGCCTTTCTTTGGAATCATTTGGCATGGGACCGAACCAGTACACTATACATCCAATTTGCTGCTGGCCAGTTGCCCGCCAGACTTTGTCCTGACTAATCAGTTCATCAGTTCAGGGGTTCCTTTGGGACCCGATGGATGAGGATAGATTATATTAGAGAGGGTCCTAAGCACTGCGACCCTGTTTTAGATCTTTTGTGCAAGCGTGAGTTCACCATAACAGGTTTACATATGAAAATAACGGGTTTGATTGTTAAGAGATTGAATATATCCTTCGAGGTTAGTGATGCTGCATCACTAGCCCCCTAAGATTCTTTCTCGACGTGTTCTTAGTGTTGGACAATTGCACAATATGTAATCAGAGGTTTCCTCCTGGCAGGTAAAAAATGTGCATAGCTTCGATATGGCGTTAATTAGGGTGAATTAATGATATCTGAGACCTCAGTGTCCCGTGAGTAGTACAGTTATTATTCTGAGATCGCTTTTGTTAAGCGATATCAACTTTGTCCTTGATAGCGTAATTGTGGGATACCAAAGAATGGTTCAGGGCCGATAAGTGGGCGATGAGCGCCTCTATTTGCTAAGCAATCCGCCCGTTTGTTTCCATAATAACCTATATGGCCTGTTATCCAACACAGTGTTAGTTATAATGTTTAGCCAGTTCGTTCAATGAAGTCACATAGTCCATTACAATACCCGACCTAACTTCATACGAGAGTATGGCCTTGAGCACTGCTTGGCTGTTTGACATTATGTAAATTATCAGACCATTTATCCTTCTCCTCCTTAGCACAGATGTAGATGTCGTAGATTACCGCCTGAAATATTGAGGGATATTTTCCCATGGAGATTGCTTTCTGGAAGTTAGGACCACATGTATAACCAGTATAACCATCTATGTGTATGGACCCGTTAGTATACCAAACTTGATCAGCACTTTGCTGCCACCATGTTTGATTGACCCATTGGTTCCACTCAGGTATCTTGAAGGAACGGTCAAAAACTAATGGTTGAGGATAATTCTGAGTTAGTTGTTTTTGCTTTCTGAAGGTGTTTTTCACCTGATGTTGAGTACGTCCCTTCTATTGGCTCTAAACCAGTGATTGCCTTTTCCTTGTCGTGGTATGTAATGGTCTTGTCTCACAATACCTATCATTCCGCAACGGTTCTACTATGGCAAGAGATGAGATATATCGAGAACTTGAGCAAAGTGCTTGTACATGGTCCATGTACAAAAATTGCTACTGGCGTGTAAGGAACACAAAGGGGCGGTGGTGAGCCGTCAAAGAAGCTCACCCTGTGTATGAAAAAGACCAGCGTAAAATAAGACCGTCAAGTTCACTTAAAGCACTTCGACATCTTAGCATTTCGAAACTGCTGGAACGTTTGGGATACAATTTTACATAGAAGTATCAAAGGGAAATTGGTTAAAAATTACAACCGATATTTCAAAAATAGTTGACCAAGATTTGACATATTCCTTAGCCAATCATTTGTCGAAAGTTATTTAATAGATAAACCTTTTGAAAAGTAGTTGAAGTTCTAGATTGATCTTTATTTCATGTATGTGTCACTAAATTAAATTTATATGACTTCATTTTTATTATTTATAAAATTTAACTCGATGAAATAATTTTACTTTATCTATTAAAAGTTTAATCAAAAATATGAGTAACTACAGATAGTCCAAAATACAAGTGATCGCAAATATGATCGCTATATGTTTGTGATCACAAAACATATGTTATCACGATATTTGCGATCTTATAAATGATCACGAATGGATTTTGTGATCGTAATATGTTAAATGTTTATTTACATCGAATCATTTTTGAACACAAATCGATCTGTTTTCTCTCGATCGAAAGCTGATGGATGAATCTTATATCTTGACGAAAAATTTATTTAGAAAATTGTATTATGTATGATGGTTAAATGCTGATAACAAAGGCCGGTTTCGGTTTCTCTTAATTTATCGTTTTGATTTGAAATCTGTTTTTCATTTTGTATTTTCTAAATTTTTGGAACAAAACGTATGTAAACGAAATAATTGAGTGCACTTTTCCATGACAAACTTAAAAACACTTATAACAGATTATGCTTACCCATGATCACTTTTGTTAGGAATATGAGATCATGTTTTTCTCCATTTTAGAGTTTCTCGTATACAAAATAAAGAACTTTCCTCGATTATTAATATTATCCAATTAAAGTTCAAATATAACAACAATAATCAGTAACCATATTAATTTTAAATAAAATCCATGAAAAAATCTGATATAAAACCAATTAAGGCCCCTATTAAAACCTTTTCGAATGGCGCCAATAATTCTTAACTTAAAGAAAACTTATTAATAAAATTTTTATCTTTGATTTTATAATAAACGTCACATTTAAATAACTTTTACAAAAAATACTGATAACAAGTCCAATAATAACTATTTTCATGGGTGGTATATAATCTTTAAGTTAAAAAAGACAATTATCACGTGAATAATTTCGATAATAATAATACTATAAACGGCCTTTCGTAATTTAATTAAAATTTCTCAAAATAAATCATATTAATATCCGCCGAATTTAAAATTAGTATAAAAAAGCTCGCAAACACTTGAGAATTTATCATTTTGGATTAAAACTTCAACCAAAAAGGTAAATCAATCAAAATATTTAATATTATAAATAAAAATTACAAATTTTAATTCAAATCCTTCAACTTTAGCTCCCCCCAAAAAAATTTATCAATATGGTTAGTTTCGAAGAAGCTTGTGAATTGGCTAAGAACTTCAGCAAGAAGCCTTCTGACTCTGAATTCTTAGAATTCTACGGTCTTTTCAAGCAAGCCACCGTTGGTGATTGCAACATTGAAAAACCCGGTGCTTTGGATTTGAAAAAGAAGGCCATGTGGGAAGCCTGGAACAAACACCAAGGTTTGTCTCAAGATGCTGCCAAGGCTGCCTACGTACAAGTCTATGAGAAATATGCTCCCAAATATGCTTAAATAATAATACAAAAACTATATAAACACTATACAGTCATGGTTAAGGAACATTAAGTTACATAATATGAAATTAACATAGATTATTTAAATATATTTATTAATACATAAATAAAAAAGCGTTACAAATCAAATAATTGGTGAGGTTTTAAAATTGTGAAGTATACTTTTATACTGCCTTAATAATGATCATTATGCAGTATTTCGTCAGCCTAGTAATATGCTTTAGAAATTAGCTTCTGATTGTGGCATTGCTATGACGGCTGCTATTAATGGTTTTGTTTGTTGAATTTTCATTATCATTACACGTATGTGTGAGTTATCTGGTGTTAGAGTATGCGGTGGTAATTTGTCGTTAATATCCAAAACGGCCACTACTTCAAAATCAATCTTCAATGGTACTCCAGGTAATATACTGGGAAGCTAAAATACGAAGAAATAAAAGTCTTAGTCAAAAATTGATATGAAAATTCTAAAAAAACTAAAGTCGGCTGTAGTTTCTTATATAGCCATCCAATCTTCAAACGGAGCTTAATCTGTGATCACTTCGATTTTCCATCAAATATCGATTTTTATATGAGAAAACTAAAATCGGCTGTAGTTTCTTAAATAGCCACCCAAACGACAAACGGAGCTTAATCTGTGATCACTTCGATTTCGCATCAAATATCGATTTTTATATGAGAAAACTAAAATCGGCTGTAGTTTCTTAAATAGCCATCCAATCGACAAACGGAGCTTAATCTGTGATCACTTCGATTTTCCATTAAAAATCCATTTTTATATGAGAAAACTGAAATCGGCTGTAGTTTCTTAAATAGCCACCCAATCGACAAACGGAGTTTAATCTGTGATCACTTCGATTATAAATCGATTTTTATATAAAAAAAAACTAAAATCGGCTGTAGTTTCTTAAATAGCCACCCAATCGACAAACGGAGCTTAATCTGTGATAACTTCGATTCTCCATTAAAAATCCATTTTTATATGAGAAAACTAAAATCGGCTGTAGTTTTTTAAATAGCCACCCAATCGACAAACAGAGCTTAAACCGTGATCACTTCGATTTCCCATCAAATATCAATTTTTATATAAGAAAACTAAAATCGGCTGTAGTTTCTTAAATAGCCACCCAATCGACAAACAGAGCTTAATCCGTGATCACTTCGATTTTCCATTCAAAATCGATTTTTATATGAGAAAACTAAAATCTGTGATCACTTCGATTTCCCATCAAATATCGATTTTTATATGAGAAAACTAAAATCGGCTGAAGTTTCTTAAATAGCCACCCAATCGACAAACAGAGCTTAATCCATGATCACTTCGATTTCCCATCAAAAATCGATTTTTATATGAGAAAACTAAAATCGGCTGTAGTTTCTTAAATAGCCACCCAATCGACAAACAGAGCTTAATCCGTGATCACTTAGATTTTCCATTCAAAATCGATTTTTATATGAGAAAACTAAAATCGGCTGTAGTTTCTTAAATAGCCACCCAATCGACAAACGGAGCTTAATCTGTGATGATTTCGATTTCCCATCAAATATCGATTTTTATGTGAGAAAACTAAAATCGGCTGTAGTTTCTTAAATAGCCATCCAATCGACAAACGGAGCTTAATCCGTGATCACTTCGATTTTCCATTAAAAATCAAATTTTATATGAGAAAACTAAAATTGGCTGTAGTTTCTTAAATAGCCATCCAATCGACAAACGGAGCTTAATCTGTGATCACTTCGATTTTCCATTAAAAATCGATTTTTATATGAGAAAACTAAAATCGGCTGTAGTTTCTTAAATAGCCACCCAATCGACAAACGGAGCTTAATCCGTGATCACTTCGATTTCCCATCAAATATCGATTTTTATATGAGAAAACTAAAATCGGCTGTAGTTTCTTAAATAGCCACCCAATCGACAAACGGAGCTTAATCTGTGATCACTTCGATTTTCCTTTAAAAATTGATTTTTATATGAGAAAACTAAAATCGGCTGTAGTTTCTTAAATAGCCACCCAATCGACAAACGGAGCTTAATCTGTGATCACTTCGATCTTCCATTAAAAATCGATTTTTATATGAGAAAACTAAAATCGGCTGTAGTTTCTTAAATAGCCACCCAATCGACAAACGGAGCTTAATCTGTGATCACTTCGATTTCGCATCAAATATCGATTTTTATATGAGAAAACTAAAATCGGCTGTAGTTTCTTAAATAGCCACCCAATCGACAAACGGAGCTTAATCTGTGATCACTTCGATTTCCCATCAAATATCGATTTGTAAATGAAAAAACTAAAATCGGCTGTAGTTTCTTAAATAGCCACCCAATCGACAAACGGAGCTTAATCTGTGATCACTTCGATTTCCCATCAAATATCGATTTTTATATGAGAAAACTAAAATCGGCTGTAGTTTCTTAAATAGCCACCCAATCGACAAACGGAGCTTAAACTGTGATCACTTCGATTTTCCATCAAATATCGATTTTTATATGAGAAAACTAAAATCGGCTGTAGTTTCTTAAATAGCCACCAAATCAATAAACGGAGCTTAATCTGTGATCACTTCGATTTTCGATTAAAAATCGATTTTTATATGAGAAAACTAAAATCGGCTGTAGTTTCTTAAATAGCCACCCAATCGACAAACGGAGCTTAATCTGTGATCACTTCGATTTTCCATTAAAAATCGATTTTTACATGAGAAAACTAAAATCGGCTGTAGTTTCTTAAATAGCCACCCAATCGACAAACGGAGCTTAATCTGTGATCACTTCGATTTCCCATCAAATATCGATTTGTAAATGAAAAAACTAAAATCGGCTGTAGTTTCTTAAATAGCCACCCAATCGACAAACGGAGCTTAATCTGTGATCACTTCGATTTCCCATCAAATATCGATTTTTATATAAAAAAACTAAAATCGGCTGTAGTTTCTTAAATAGCCACCCAATCGACAAATGGAGCCTAATCTGTGATCACTTCGATTTTCCATTCAAAATCGATTTTTATATGAGAAAACTAAAATCGGCTGTAGTTTCTTAAATAGCCACCCAATCGACAAACGGAGCTTAATCTGTGATCACTTCGATTTTCCATTATAAATCCATTTTTATATGAGAAAACTAAAATCGGCTGTAGTTTCTTAAATAGCCACCCAATCGACAAACGGAGCTTAATCTGTGATCACTTCGATTTTCCATTAAAAATCGATTTTTATATGAGAAAACTAAAATCGGCTGTAGTTTCTTAAATAGCCATCCAATCGACAAACGGAGCTTAATCCGTGATCACTTCGATTTTCCATTAAAAGTCGATTTTTATATGAGAAAACTAAAATCGGCTGTAGTTTCCTAAATAGCCATCCAATCGACAAACGGAGCTTAATCCGTGATCACTTCGATTTTCCATTATAAATTCATTTTTATATGAGAAAACTAAAATCGGCTGTAGTTTCTTAAATAGCCACCCAATCGACAAACGGAGCTTAATCTGTGATCACTTCGATTTCCCATCAAATATCGATTTGTAAATGAAAAAACTAAAATCGGCTGTAGTTTCTTAAATAGCCACCCAATCGACAAATGGAGCTTAATCTGTGATCACTTCGATTTCCCATCAAATATCGATTTTTATATAAAAAAAACTAAAATCGGCTGTAGTTTCTTAAAAAGCCACCCAATCGACAAACGGAGCTTAATCCGTGATCACTTCGATTTTCCATTAAAAATCGATTTTTATATGAGAAAACTAAAATCGGCTGTAGTTTCTTAAATAGCCACCCAATCGACAAACGGAGCTTAATCCGTGATCACTTCGATTTTCCATTAAAAATTTATTTTTATATAAGAAAACTAAAATCGGCTGTAGTTTCTTAAATAGCCATCCAATCGACAAACGGAGCTTAATCCGTGATCACTTCGATTTTCCATTAAAAGTCGATTTTTATATGAGAAAACTAAAATCGGCTGTAGTTTCCTAAATAGCCATCCAATCGACAAACGGAGCTTAATCCGTGATCACTTCGATTTTCCATTATAAATTCATTTTTATATGAGAAAACTAAAATCGGCTGTAGTTTATTAAATAGCCACCCAATCGACAAACGGAGCTTAATCCGTGATCACTTCGATTTCCCATCAAATATCGATTTTTATATGAGAAAACTAAAATCGGCTGTAGTTTCTTAAATAGCCACCCAATCGACAAACGGAGCTTAATCTGTGATCACTTCGATTTTCCATTATAAATCCATTTTTATATGAGAAAACTAAAATCGGCTGTAGTTTCTTAAATAGCCACCCAATCGACAAACGGAGCTTAATCCGTGATCACTTCGATTTTCCATTAAAAATCGATTTTTACATGAGAAAACTAAAATCGGCTGTAGTTTCTTAAATAGCCACCCAATCGACAAACGGTGCTTAATCTGTGATCACTTCGATTTCCCATCAAATATCAATTTTTATATAAGAAAACTAAAATCGGCTGTAGTTTCTTAAATAGCCACCCAATCGACAAACAGAGCTTAATCTGTGATCACTTCGATTTTCCATTATAAATCCATTTTTATATGAGAAAACTAAAATCGGCTGTAGTTTCTTAAATAGCCACCCAATCGACAAACGAAGCTTAATCCGTGATCACTTCGATTTTCCATTAAAAATCGATTTTTACATGAGAAAACTAAAATCGGCTGTAGTTTCTTAAATAGCCACCCAATCGACAAACAGAGCTTAATCCGTGATCACTTCGATTTTCCATTAAAAATCGATTTTTACATGAGAAAACTAAAATCGGCTGCAGTTTCTTAAATAAAAATCCAATCGACAAACGGAGCTTAATCCGTGATCACTTCGATTTTCCATTAAAAATTGATTTTTATATGAGAAAACTAAAATCGGCTGTAGTTTCTTAAATAGCCACCCAATCGACAAACGGAGCTTAATCTGTGATGATTTCGATTTCCCATCAAATATCGATTTTTATGTGAGAAAACTAAAATCGGCTGTAGTTTCTTAAATAGCCATCCAATCGACAAACGGAGCTTAATCCGTGATCACTTCGATTTTCCATTAAAAATCAAATTTTATATGAGAAAACTAAAATTGGCTGTAGTTTCTTAAATAGCCATCCAATCGACAAACGGAGCTTAATCTGTGATCACTTCGATTTTCCATTATAAATCCATTTTTATATGAGAAAACTAAAATCGGCTGTAGTTTCTTAAATAGCCACCCAATCGACAAACGGAGCTTAATCTGTGATGATTTCGATTTCCCATCAAATATCGATTTTTATGTGAGAAAACTAAAATCGGCTGTAGTTTCTTAAATAGCCATCCAATCGACAAACGGAGCTTAATCCGTGATCACTTCGATTTTCCATTAAAAATCAAATTTTATATGAGAAAACT